GAAAATGTTTGGTAGCCCCAAACCGCAATCACAAGGAGGGTTGTTTTGTTTTGCCAGGGAATTCTCGAAAGGACCTTTGCAAGGCCCCAAATTCTTTTCCCCGCAAGGGGGCCCCCGCAGATTTGGGGGTGCTTTTGAAACCCCAGCTGGACTGGAATTCTTTTTTGGGGAAACCTTTTTTGCCAAAAAAAACCTTCAGCCCTTTCAAACCTTGGTGGAGCTTTCTTTCTTTGTTTTTTGGTTTTTTTTTTTTTTAATTTGTGGGTTTAAAAAAAAAAACCACAAAAATTTTAAACCCCCTCTTCACCCTAAAACAAAATTAACGGAAAACGTGGCGGAATACCCCCAGGTTATTTCAAAAGCCAAGGCAACGTTTTGTTTGTTAAAAAAATTCTGCCAAAAAAAAGGGGGCTTTTTCCCCCACCCGGGAAAATTGCCGGTTGGGGCAATTTGGGGGCCCATCCTTTGGACAGGGAGGCCGGGGGGCTTTTAAATCCTTTTTCTCGGGGCTCGTGTGCCCCCAAGGTTTTTCAAAGCCCCGTATTTTTTGTTTTGGCTGGGGCCCAGGCAAGAGGAACCCGGCCGCAACTTCTTTTGCTTGGGGACCTTGCAAGAAACTTGCGGAAAGGGATTTTGGGATTAAGAAAAACGAGTTTGTGTTTTTTTTAAAGGGCCCCACGGAAAGGCTTTTTTTGCAGTGGAAATCTTTGTTTATTGCAGGGAAAAAAAAATGGGACAATCCCCGACCAAAAAAACTCCCCTTAGAAAACCCACCCCAAAAAGGTAATTATTCGGAAGATTTTTAAAATTCGGAGGACGGTGATTGGGCATGGGGGATTTGGCCAAAAACCCAGGAAATTCCCGGGTAAACTTGGGGCCCAGCGCTTTGATTTGAAAAAATGGGGTGGGTTTGTAGGCTGGGTTTACTTTGATAGCCAAAACCTTGGCGCCCCCTTTTCTTTGGGCCCCCCAACCCAGTTAAAAATAGAAAAAACCAAGGGCTTCCAAAAACAGGGGGGCCATTTTCCATGGGCCAAGCCCTGGGGAAAAACCCTCGTGTATAAATACGGGTTTCTTCCCCCTCATTTCCAAAAAAAGGGATTTTCCCAACAATTTAAGGTGGGTTTTTTTTTCTTTCCTTTTTTTTTCAAGGGGGCCTCGGCTTCTTTTTCCCCTTCAAAATTTTCCCATTTTTGGAGGCCCCCCCCCCCAAGAAAACCCCATTTTTGGGGGGGCCGCAACTTTTTGGGGGGCTTTGCGCTCCAAAAAAAAAAAAAAGGACCATGATTTTGGACCAGTTGGTTCCCAGGTTCCCCCAAAGAAACAGGGCTTCAAAAACAAATGGGTACCCAGGGGATTGTGGGGAGGACCCAGTAAAAAGTGAAATTGCCTCCGGGCTCCCGAGTAAAGGAGCAATTCCTGCCCCTTGCAACCAAAGCCCCTTGGGGCCTTGCCGTCCTTCCCCCCACCAGGGGACCGGGGCTTTGGGAGACATGCAAGGAGGCAAGACGGTTCTGTGCTTTTAAAGACCCCACCCTTGTCTTCCAGTTATGGGATAAGGTTGGCCCAGAAGGGGGACAATTCCCTTTTTTTTCCTCCGTCCTCCCTGGCCAAGTTAACTTCCTCTCCCTTTTCCCTGGCCCTGGCCGTAAAGAAGAAAAGGCAATCTCTTCCTAAGGTTGCATGGGCTAAACCCCTTCTTTAGATTACTGCTGTTCCCTTAAAAACAGTCCGCAACCCTTAAAAAACCAAAAAAAAGCCGTCAAAACTTATGGGCAATCCATCCAGACAGTTTGACCAAAAAAGCTTCTGTTCCTGGAACCCCGCTTCGAGTTGGGACAAACATTTGGGAAAAAAAATAACCCATCACCAAACCCCCATTTGGAACGTTCTTGGACAAAAAATTGGGAACCCGTTTCAATCGATGAGGGGGGAACTCAAGGCCCAGGGTTTCAAAAATTTTCCCAGGGACTTGTTGGGGGACAGTTTTTACAGAAGAAATGACAGGGCTTTAAAATCACAACCTGCACAAAAAAGACAAAAAAAAGAAAAAATTCAAGAAAGACTTCGTTTTTTTTTTTTTTTTTTTTTTTTTAAAAGAGACGACGAGATGGAGAGGATGGGAGGAAGGGAAGGGAAAGAGGGAAGGGCAA